GTGTGTGTGTGTATGGATACTGGGGCTTGAACTCAGGGCCTATACTTTCTTTTGGCTGTTTCAATCAGGTCTGATGCTTTACTACTTAGGCCATACCCAATTCCAGCATTTTGCTGGTTAATTGGAGATAAGAATCTCTTAGACTTTTCTGCCCAGTTTAGTTTTGAACTCTGACCATCAGATCTCAGCCTCCTGACTAGCTAGGATTATAGGTGTAAGCCATTGCTATCTACCTGAAATTGATTATAAGGACAAGTTAATCAAAATTATGATTACATTGTCTATGATAAAACTACAAGTGGAAGAACAATTCTATTTGGCAGTGAGGACAATTAAATTCTGTGTCTCACACATGTTGGGAAAGTGCTGTACCACTGAGTACAGGTAGACGAGAAGAATAAGATTGAATTTTTTATATAACTATTAATAGTGCACACTTGTTGAAAGTAACTTTAATCATTTTTTTCTTTTTCTTTTGTCAGTCATAGGGCTTGAATTCAGGGCCTTGATGCTGTCTCTAAGCATTTTCCCTCAAAGCTAGTGTTCTACAACTTTTAGCCAGAATACCACTTGTGCTTTTCTGATGGATAATTGGAACTAAGAGTCTCAGGACTTCCCTGTCTTCAAACTGTGATCTTCAGACCTCAACCTCCTGAATAGCTAGAAGTACAGGTGTGAGCTACTGGTACCTGGCAATGTAACCATTTTTGGATACTTATTAAACTTATTCAAAGAACCAGGAATTAGTGAATCATGCCAGTAATCTAGCTGCTCTAATTGAAGCCAGCCTGGGAGTTTGGGGAAGGAATAAAATAGTTAACCAGCAAAAAGCTGGGACCAGAAGCATGGTGCAAGTGGTAAGCACTGTTAGCAGAAAAGCTAAATGAAAATGAGAGACACTGTGTTCATGACCCAGCACGGGCATCAAAAGAACAAACGAGAACCCACCAACCAACCAAACATCATGAAGAAAAAATCCATATATGTTACAGATTAGTGAAGTGTTACTTAAATTTCTCTTTATTCTTAGCATAAATTAAATTTTTTTTAAAAAAAGCGTTTCATCATGACATTTCTTTAGAAGTATATAATGTGGTTTGATTTTAAACACTCCCTCTATTGCTCTGTCTTTTTTCTTTTCCTGTCTTTTCACCTCCTAGTGGTTCCCCTTTCATTATCATGGTCTTGGTTTTTGTTGTTGTTGTTTTTTGTTTTGTTTTTGCTGGTCACGGGGCTTGAATCCTAGACCGGAGTGCTGTCCCTCAGCTCTTCAGCTCAAGGCAAGCACTCTAGCACTTGAGTCACAACGCCACTTCTGGTTTTCTGAGTGGTTTATTGGAGATAAGAGTCTCAAGGACTTTTCTTGCCAGGGCTGGCTTTGAACCGTGATCCTCAGATCTCAGCCTCCTGAGTAGCTAGGATTACAGGCATGAGCCATCGGCTCCCAGCATGGTATTTTTTGTTGTTGTTGTTTTATTTCCCTCCCCACCCTCACCCCTTGCTAGCTTCCATAGGCTTGTTCCATTAACATCATGATCATAATGATGATCTTTCCATCTTTTTCAGGAAACAACAAAATTTTATTATTAATGGGTGAAACTGAATTGTGTAGATATAATACTACATTAAAACATGACTAAAGCCATTGTGAAGTTGCCTCTGGGTTTGAGGGCCTGCAATGAGCATAAAAGAAGTGTAATTCTGACAGGCAGCTTGTTGGGAAAATGCTCTGTCAGGAAGCATATATATGGGACAGAAGAATCTGGAAACTGATAATCCTTAAACTATCCATACTTGCATGCTCCTTGAAAATACTCCATGAAATGCTACTAGAGACTTAGTTCCCCAACTTGAGCACACGGAAACACGGTTCTTTAGTAGCTGACATACGGCACCAACCGTGTGCCAATTTGTCCGCTTTACTAGATGGGCACTTTTGAATCCCCATTTTACAGATGAAGAAACTGGAGGACAAATAGCTTATGTGACATGCCCAAAGTGACACAGAGACTGGGATGCAAACCCAGATGCTGTCTAGATGCTGCCTGGCTTTAGTGCCCGAGTGCCATAAGCACTGTGGACTCAAATACCTTTTGTTGATAATAATGGATTGGATTGCAGAATGAGCATGAGAGAAAGGAACACATATTCCTGTAAAACTGTTACAATAGGAAGTAACAGCTAGTAGCTTGTTAGTATGTCAGTAAATAAACTGCATGGATTAATAAACCAGAAGGCAGTGCTTCCATTTATGTCTGTTACCCCATAGCATTCAATGTCCATCAACACGCTTTTATTTCTTTAATTTTGGACTAGTAATTAGTTCAGTTAGTCCTATTTATTTAATAAGGTAAGAAACATTATCTGACACACTGTTCTGCATATCATACTTACCCTGTGAACATGTTCAAGTTTTACTGGGGTGTCATTGTTTTTATAGTGACAGCAAAGAAGAATTGGCACTGTTTTTTATAGTAACAGTAAAGAAGAAATACTGTGGCTTAATAATGGTAATGATTTTACACTTACATAACTGATTCTCCTAAAGCATCTTGAAATTATTTTACAGAAAAAAAACTACCCATATCTAAAATTATTCTCTTTCATTGAAAATTAAGGTTGTAAGCAAGCATAAGTAAAAATGATTGCCATTTTCATGAGGTAATCCTGAACAAGTGCACATTTATTTTCAAGTAATTGAATTATGCAATAAACATACTGGAATAGTCAAAAAGATTTCATTCTGCAAAATAATTTACTCTCTAATTCTGCATGAGTATATGCTGCTGGATTTTTAAAAATCAATAGTCTCTAGTTAGGAAGGACTGAACTTATGAAAGAATCCAAGGAGGGTGGGCAAAATGTTTTAAGGGTTGGATTTTAAGTCTTCAGAAATAAATGAGAGGCTTGGAATGGAATAGACAGTATGAAAGCCAATAGCTCTTCGGTCTCCAATGGAATTTCCACAAGCGTTCTGGGAAGAGAAAAGCACCTTGTCTTATTAAACTGTGAGAAGATGTGTATCTTTTCTTATTGAGATTCAGATTCATCTAATAATAATTAACCGTCTACCATATTCACATAGTTCAAAATGCTTTAACTTACAAGTAGATTAACCTACTTTTTTCTTTACATTTTTGTTGTGTGTGCTGATATTGGGGCTTGAACTCAGAGCCTGCATGCTGTCTAAGCCTTTTACTCAGGACTGGTGCTCTACCACCTTAGGCACAGTTCTGCTCCCAGGTTTTTGCTGGTTAATTTAAGATGAGTCTCATGGAAAAAATTATATTAATTGAAGTAAGTCAGGCTCAAAGAAGCATAGCTCCCATGGTTTCCCTCATTTGCAATAACTAGTATATGTCTGAGACAAGCAGAAACGGTCAGATAAGATGATGTTAGGCAAAATGAACCCCCAAGATAAGGACACGGTGGTTTTTTCTTTCTTGCTATTGTTTCTAAAATATTTATATTTCTTTGTTGCTTTGTATGTCCCTCCCCCACAGTATAACCTCTGTTTCTACTGTATTTGATGTTGGTATAATTTTGGGAGGGGAAGGGAAAAAAACAAATTGTTTAAATAGGGATATAGGTGGACCCATTGCAACAATGAGATGAACAAGATGCTATCTGAAAAACGAACTTTACAACTTTGGTGGCGGGATTGGGGGGTAGTCATGGAGATGAGGAGGGTAGGGATGGTAGGGGGGAAAACAAAGGAGGATGCAACAATGCTTGATAAGAACTATACTCATTACCTTGCTCAAGTAATTGTAACCCCTCTGTACGGTATTTTCACAATAAAAAAACTTATTTAAAAAAAGAGTCTCATGGACTTTCTTGCCTGGCTGGCTTTGAACTGTGATCATCGGATCTCAGCCTCCTGAGTAGCCAGGATTACAGGTGTGAGCCATCCGTGCCCAGTTCACAATCCAGTAATTTGACCATTGAAATATCTTTGTGTTTATCATGTGCAGAAAACTTCAAGTGCAATTCATTTGAATATAGCTCAGAGTCTAGGCTGGTGGGTTGATGTATAATGTTTTCTTTAAGTTCAGGTGGCCTGGTGAACTCTAAAGTAAAAAGCAGTACATCCACCACATCTCTGGATGACTATTAATGCTAAGTTACATGGGAATTACAAAGGCTTGTTTCTCTTGGAGTGGAGCAATTTCCTTGATGACTCCATCACTCTGGCTCTGGGGAAAGGTTGTCCTGTTACATTTTATTCCATGGTCACATCTGAGATGATCAGTGGAGAATCTGCTAGAGTGATACACATTTTACAATCTATTTCTTGCTTATACAATGTTTGAGATCTGACTCAGAGGTCAGTCATAAGATTTTAGCTTAGCTTTGTGGTTTATTTAGGAACTTACTCCCCACCACACACATTGATAAGCTTTTACTCCACAGTTGAGCTCATGTTACAACCAAAGATGGTGTCTAGACACTATATGTAAGCCTGGAGACTGGTCTTTTATTCATGTTCTCTATGCCTGACTTTCCCTTAACACAGAGGCTATGTCTTTGAGCTTTTAACACAATAAACTTGGGTGGGAAAGCAATAACATGAATATGATCTCTGAGAGCAGGGACTTTATTCTGTGTCAAAAAGAAGTCTTAGAGGAAAGTGCTTTTAAAAGGAGTTCTTAAAAGGAAGGGATGAGAGCAGACGAAAAAAATGCATTAAAAATGCGTTGTGCTGTGCTTTTTCATTAATGTATTCTCATGTGAGTTGATTAGATGAGCAGTGTTGTAGGAAACACCAAAAATTAAAATACTTCACAACAAATTAAGATTTCTTTATTCATAACTAGGATTGTTCCAATTAGAGATTTGTGTTTATATTTTTCTTCTTTTACTTTTTATTGCTGTTAATTTCAAATGAAATTGCACTTCTAATAATTGCTGTGTATAGAACATGATGGGAAGTAAATTGTGATAATGCTCATTACCAATTTGAAACTCTAAATTTAAATATTTTTTTTTAACATTCTTAGCTGAAAGTGGCCAAAATAGGAGAAGCAAAAGATCCCAGAGAATCATTGTGTGGGTCTTTATCCTCACTGATGAAACCAATGGAGGTATTGGATGAGAATGCTGTGGATGCAATTGTCCAGTATATTTCAAAAGATTTACCAAGGTAAGAGTATTAATTCAGTAGCTTAAAATGGATTTTGAAGAGGATTAATGTGCTTTCCATGTAAATGTTTATCAGCATTTGGAGATGAGGTGGACTAAAGAGATGGTCATCTGGGGTAGAGTCCTTCAGTTTTTATTTCTTTGGTTGAAAGAAAAAAAAACAAAAGATAAAATAAACAGAATTATCCCTGAGGTCTGATTTCAACAGTGCTATTGATAATTACAGGGATGACAATTATTATTTGCTATGTGCCAGTGACCCATGCTTAGCACTTAACCTGCATATTATCAGTTTTGTTCCCAAAACAACCGTGGGAGGAATATAGGTAGATAGTATTTTAAACATCTCCATTTTATTAATTAGGAAACAAAGATCTAGGGAGTTAATTACTTTGCCACTAAACACAAAGTAGAGAATGTATGGTCTGAGCCCTTATTAATTGAACTTGCTAGCAATTATAAGAAATGTCAAGCAGGGACATTTCTCCTGTGGTCCTTTTCTCCATTAGAGAGTAAAAATCTTTCACTTAATTTAATTTTTTGTTTAGTATATGGACATAAATTAATTTTATAAAATAATGGATGATTTCATTGTGATGTTTTCATGCATACACATAAACATCAATTCTAATTACGTTTAATCTACACATATTTTATTGTCTTCAGAATTTATATTTTCAGCTTAATAACACTGTTTTGTGCATTTTAGGTAGTTTTTTTCCCCAGAGCTAAATGTACTTTGATTTATTCAGTTTCTCTTTTTTTCCCTTTCTTTGATTCAGAATCCCTTAAACTCTGGCTTTGTCATTTTTATTATATGTTATTTTTCTCATATGACACTTTCTTACTCCTTTTGGGTAGTTTTTGCTTCACTATGCTTCACCTGTTTCTTTATTTAAATCCCAAGTTCTTTCCTGTCATTATTTGCCTGATATAGTCAACTTTGATTTGATCATCTATCTGGAATGGAAAGTTGAAAACAATGCCCTAAGGTCTTTAAATTCATGAAAAAGAAAATGATGAGCTTCAACCCGAAAGGGATGAAGTTTATAAAGGCTATTGGTAATCTAAAATCTGTTGGTGGTAATATGATTACCACAGAGAGGAGAAAACTAATTGAGGTTCAAGATTTTCTTGACTCATTCTTATTTATCTTGACTTCTACCATCTTTATGGTCTTTTTTAAAATGAAAAATAACTATTAAAATATACTTAAGCTTTTCTTTTACTTCTTGATATAGGTTATACTTTTCACTAATTTAAGACACTGTACTTTAAAAAGTATGTCAATCTACATTATTCATTCATAATAGCCATGCATTGATTAGTCACTTTATTTCATGTTATATATTGGATGCTATTATCTTTTATTGTATTTACATGAATCAATCATCTTCTCTCACTTTCTTATACTGCTTCATCGTTTCTCTTATGTTGTCACTCCATCTCTATTTGCTTGTTATAAAGTAAAAACTGCTCCTCTAGGATCTTATTTCCACAAGAAAATTAGCACCAACCATGTTGGTTTGACTCACCATTGGAAGGACACATGACTGTCAAAGTCCAGGCTGTGCCTGTGGCTACTTCTGAGAAAGCTGGACCATAGGAATCTTTTCTTACCCAGTTGTAGTCTGATGTATTTCCAAGTGATATGGATGACAGAAATGATTATTTATTAGCAACATGTTCTACCATAATCATAGAAAGTGTCTGCCAATGCTGTAGTCAGCAGCTTCCAGATATAATTACAAGTTAAAATTCAGAGAATGTTATAAACAAGATCTCCTTCAATTCCACAGATAAAATAGTTTTAATGATTTTTTTATTATTTTTTTAATCAAGTAGTTTTTTTTATTGTGAAAATACCATACAGAGGGGTCACAATTACATGGGCAAGGTAATGAGTACATTTCTCACCAAACATTGTTGCCTCCTCCTTTGTTTCCCCTTCCTCTCCCTTCCCATCTCTCACCCACCAAATTGTACATCTCATTGTTGCCATGGGTCCACCTGTAACCCTATTTAAATGATTTGTTTTTTCCCTTCCAGTTTTAATGATTTTAAACTGCCATTCCTATATTGAATGTAATCTCATGATTTTCATAATGGAAAGTGTGTCTTACTCTACTGGCAGCTCGATGAATTTCCAACTCTTAAGAGTCCTTTGGACCCTCTGCTAGAAAAGTAGATTCAAGTCTCAATAATGACTTCTAAATTGTATCCTCTACTATTATAGGCATAAGACAGTAATGTATCATACCTCTGTGAAGGTAAAAATACCTTGAACCTGCTGAATGATACATAGTAGTGACTGTGCTTTATCTGAGCTGCTTTTAATATGTTACCAAAGAATGTTTTCTTTCCAGATGATAATTGAGAAGCTATAAGCATGGTACTAGTTACCAAACAGTAACGAAACTTCCCATTTCAGGGAGGGTTTTTAAAATCTTTTTGTTTTTTGTTATTAATGGAATGTTAGTAGTCTAACTTTGTTCAGATAACTGCAAAGTCTGGAAAAAATCTGTTGCTGCTATTGATGCATAGCATACTGCTCCTATTAATCTTTTTATAGAAACATAAATAACATATATAATTGGAATTATTAGCTTTTTTTTTTTTTTTTTTTTTTTTTGGGTCCGGTCATGGGGCCTGAACTCTGGGCCTGGGCACTGCCCCTCAGCTCTTCAGCTCAAGGCTAGCGCTCTACCACTTGAGCCACAGCGCCACTTCCGGCTTTTTTGTTTATGTGGTGCTGAGGAATCGAACCCAGGGCCTCAGGCATGCAAGGCAAGCACTCTACCACTGAGCCACCTTCCCAGCCCATAATTGGAATTATTAGAAACTTTAGTTGTGCTGTCAATTTTGGAAAAACTATGCCAGCTTACCATATTGAGTTGGCATTGTACAGAAATTAACAGCCATATTGGTCTGTTAAATGTAAATTTATTTTTTTTTCATTTGTACTAGGGTAAATGAATGTTCTATATTAAATACATAAGACCTTACCTACTTGGGTTTGATTACAGAAACTAATAAAGTATTCTCTAAATAATAAAAAAATTGTTCCCCGAGGATGAAAATTACTTTTAGTGCATTAAGTGAAGATTGAGTCCGTTTTTTAAATTTTTTAAATTTATTTTTATTTATTTACTTATTTTGTCGGTCATGGGGCTTGAACTCTGGGCTTGGGCGCTGTCCCTCAGCACTTCAGCTCAAGGCGAGCGTTCTACCATTTGAGCCACAGCACCACTTCCAGTTTTCTAGTGGTTTATTGGAGATAAGAGTCTCATGGGCTGGCTTTGAACCGTGATCTTCAGATCTCAGCCTCCTCAGTAGCTAGGATTACAGGCATTAGCCATCAGCGCCCGGCAAGTCCATTTAAAAAAAATAAACACTAATAATTTTTGGTCATAGATTATCTAGGTTGCTATTTCATAGATAGATCTTGCTTTTCAAGAACACTGTGAGTATCTTATCTGTTCAGCTATTTTATTATATCATATTATTTATGGTGGGTATTTTTTACTGAAACAATACTTTGACCCGTTTTCAAAAGTACACATTTGAGTCTGTCACCTTTTCTAGGAAATATTACATCATTTTAAGATGAGCTGTTGGTTCACACTATGGGATTGGTGGCAGAAAATGTCCAACAAATTACAGTTTCCTCAATTCATAACTTTTTGGGATTTCCTTCAAGCCTTTAAAAATATCTGTACAGGGGGGAGTTCTCAAGATGGCGACGGGGCAGTAGGGAAACGCCACAGCTCTCTCCAACCAAAAAGAGAGTTCGAGTTCCAACCTTTAATCTCCCCAAGAGACCGACAACAACAAAAAGACGAACACTCAGAGAAAAACCAGAGGTGGAAAATAACAAAAAAAGAAAGAGAGGAAAAGAAGAATTTCAGAACAGAGAAGAGCGAAGACCCCTCCCCCAACCTTTACTGGCCGCGCGGCAGTGCGCCAAGCCGCCGGCCAGCCGGCCCGGCAGGGGCTGCCAGAGCCACAGAGACACAGGGGGCTGCTTGCAGATCACCAGGTACCGGATTGCAGAACAGCGGATCGCCAGGAACAGAGAAACCTACCAGCCGGGAGTCTCCAGGAGGATCCCACCCCACCCATCACTCTCCACCGGAGCGGAGAGGCTCCATCCCGCCAAAGCCGCCCGGCACCAGCAGCTCCACAAAGGGACCTGTCCGCAGACCACCCGCCCAATCGCGATCGCAACGACCCGGCGGGGGGCCGCCCAACCCAGCCCGCAACCACCCCAACTGAACTCGGACTGCAACAACAACTGACGGACTGCAACAACAACTGATGACCTACAGGGTGAGTACCCATCAGGGGACAGGGAATCCATCAAGGGAGACCAGAGCTGGAGGGAATCCCCAGACCCTGACCTAGACTCCCTACCCCAACACCCGGACCACAGGACCCACTAAAACTGGGAACTATTCGAGAGCCCCACCAGCCGGTGGAGCACACTCTGCTGGCCAGGCCAGAGCAAGAGCGCCCCGGGAAGGGAGCTTAAATGCTCAAGCCAGGAACAGTGCCCCTGGGTCAAGACTACCAACAGTAGAAGAAATTTGAACTGTGTCCTCCAGGCTGCATAACCAAGGTGGTATACACATTAGCACAGGCCTAACGAGCGCGCTCCAGGCTGGGGCCGGAACCAGGCCAGGGGACCGGCGCCTGAACAAAGCAAAAAGGGTCAGAAGTGGGGCTGTGGCTCAAATGGTAGGGTGCCAGCCCTGAGCTGAAGAGCTGAGGGACAGCACCCAAACCTAGAGTTCAAGCCCACAACCAGCCCAAAACAAACAAACAAAAACACATCAGGAGCCCATAGCAGACTCCAGTATTTGGGAGAGTGCATCCAGAGCATCTGATCTTCCCAAGAGCACCCGCAGGAGCAAACACAAGCAGTCTAGGCTGCTCAACCCTTCCAAAGGCGGGAATTGCTACAGCAGAGAGCTGAGAATCCTAAGTGAATAGCAGCTGGAA